GTGAATAACAGTGGCAGGACAAGTATTCTGTTTCACTGAGTTTTCACAAAATAAACTGAAAACAGGGGAACCTGCTTACCTGGTTGTTTGAGAGTGTTTCTCCAAACTGCTTGCGCACTAACAGGTGATCCCTCGCCAGCTGCACAGAAGCATGCGCCGCCCCAAGAGAACAGGAAGCTGGCGGCAGAGTATTTAGAGGAAAACCAGTGAGTAAGTTGTTTGGCTTTGTTTTAAACGCCTTCATGTCAATGCCAAATACTGTGTGACCACAAATACTGACGGTTTGAGCTGAGTTATTACTGAGCAAACCACTGCTACTGGTCATAACCAAGGGCATGCTCATTTATAAAAGTGTGTTAATCCAAATCTACTGAAACCATTCGTCATGCCTTAACCAACTCAAGGTTTCTTTAAAAGCACGCTGCACGCAATTTATGCACAAATCTGTTTCCCCCGAAGCTCGTTGAAGCCCAATTATGATGCAGATTACATACTGTTACTTCTAGCTTTAAAAAAAATATAGATTTACATTGGATTGTAAGTATAAAAGACACAGTTTTTGGATGCTTGGCTACTCGGGTGGTATTTTCCTCCTTACCAATATTAATTCTGCCTCCATTCAGGCCTTTCATTGCGAAGTTGAAGCCCTGTCCTTCCTCACCGAGCCGGTTCGCCACAGGAACCGCACAGTCCTCAAATATCACGGCCCTGGTCGGCTGAGAGTTCCAGCCCACCTGGAGGACAGATTGTTTTTAACAGCTGATTGGCTCAATTCTGCCATCTAGTGGTTGAACACCAAAGTGGCGCAACTGTGAAGTCGTACTTTTTTTTCTTTTTTGCCAAAACTGAGGCCGGGGGTTCCCTTCTCCACCACCAGACATGAGATACCTTTAGGTCCTTTACCTCCAGTTCTGCACATCACGACGTAGACATCTGTGTCTCCTCCTCCACTGATGAAGGCCTAAAAAGTGCCGAAGAAATTAGAGGAGCTTGCATCTCTACAGACCTTAAATGACATGAGCGTACAGACAGGTCTGAGTTACCTTTGAGCCATTCAAGACGTAATGGTCGCCTTTCCGCTGAGCAGAGGTCAGAAGAGAAGCAGCATCGCTGCCGCTGCCTAAAACAAAGATCGCAGGTTGAACTTTAACTAAAGTACTCACATGTGTGGAAGAACAACATACATGTGAAACGAATTTCTCACATAGACAGCTGTGAATAATTTTACACAAAGAACTCTGCTGTCTTTTCGCATGCAGACTCACCTGGTTCAGTGAGACAATAGGAGGCAAACTTCTCCATAGAACAGAGATCAGGACAAAACTTTTCCCTTTGCTCTTTATTGCCATAGCTGTCTATCATCCAGGCACACATGCTGCAAAGATAAGGAGGACAGAGGAGATTAACATGCAAATAAATAAATAACATACACTCTCTGGCCACTTTGTTAGGCATACCACTTCAACTGTTTGTTAACACAAATATCTGATCAGCCAATCACATGACAGCAACTCAGTGCATTTAGACATGAAGACACAGTCGAGTCGACCCAGCGATGTTCAAACTGAGCATCAGATTGGAAGAAATGTGATTTAATGATGGTGTTGGTAGAATACGTGCTGGTCTGAGTACACAGAGTACCACTCCTGTCAGCTAAGTACAGCAAACTGAGGCTAGGATTCGCACGAGTTCACCAAAATTGGATACTAGAGATATGTTGCCTGGTCTGTTGAGTCTCGATTTCAGCTTCAACATTTGACATGAACAACATGAAAGCATGGATCCATCCTGCCTTGTATTAACAGTTCAGCCTGCTGAAGTACCAATTATTTAAATGCTAAAGTGAACCTGAGTATTGTTACCGACCACGTTCATCCCTTCATGGCCACAGTGTACCCATCTTCCTGTATGTATAATCCAGATAAACTGACATCTGCTGTAAATATGGCGTCTTTTAAAAATGCTCCCAACCAAAATAATCTTATTATTCATACTTGTGGATGCTGATGTAGGCTGTGGTGCTCACACATCCCGTGGACAAAGCCTCAAAGATGATCGACGTGTCCAGCCGAGAAAGGCCAGATCCTCCGACATCTGGCTGAACGTAAATCCCACCGAAACCCAGCTGGGCCGCTTTACGCATGGTCTCCACTGGAAAGATTTCCTGAGTGGGGAAGAAACATCTAACCATTAGCACACCCTGCTTAGTGCTGTTACTAGTTACTTATTGCCTAATACTTATTTTTACTTTTTTTTTCTCCTGATCAGGACTTTGGATTGATACAAAAGATTGCCTTTATATGAGCAAACATGGTTTTGAACCCCTCACATCTGTTGCTTTCACGTTTGATTAATAACAGTGTTTTAAGCCTCCTAGCTCATACCTTTTGGTCCCACTCTGCCATGTGTGGGGCCATTTCATTGGCTGCAAAGTCAAAGGCCACTTTTTGAAACTCCTTCTGTTCATCTGTGAGTCCGTGGGAAGCTGCAGACAAAGAGCGGAGGACATTAAATACAGAAACTGCTCTGTGTGCTTTTAACCATTACATACTGTTCATATTTCGTGTCTTCACAGTCTGGCTCAGGTCACGTTTAACCCAGGCTAAGAATTCCCTCATAAGTGTCTACAGCATATTGTTAAACAGAGATTAATTTAGAGTATATAAATAGTCACCTTTTTTACTCACTATGTATTTATAAACCTATATTAATCTCTAGCTCTCTTCCACAGTCTTTGTCCTGTCTTTGTCCCTCAACCCCAGCCAGATGGACGCCCCTCCCCGAGTCTGGTTCTGCTGGAGGTTTCGTCCTCCTTCTAGTTTTTCCTTCCTAGTGCTGCCAAAGCGCTTGCTCACAAGAGGTCATATGAGTGCTGGGTTTTTTCTGTTTTCTTTGTATTATTGTAGGATCCTTACCTTACAATACAAAGTGCCTTGAGGCAAATGGTGTTGTGATATGGTGCTATATAAATAAAATAGAATTGAACTGAACTGAAAAACATCTAATATCATATAGTATTATGTCCTGTTATACCTAACACATTACAACATAACAGCCACGATGATTTAAATAACATCTAGGTGTTGAATAATCCGAAAGAGAGGGGCGGTGCTAAGGAGAGGCGTGCAGCTTTCTCTGCCTTCCGACTGGAACTGAGATCTAACAAACCAACCAATGACAGTCGGCTGCGATAAATAAGTAAATAAAAGCGCTGAATATGTGTAGCATAAGCTTCTTTTCTTTTTTTAAAAATCTTAATCAGCAGTCACGTTTGTTTGCTACAAAGCTGTGTGACTACTTAACATATCGCTGGTTCATTTCATTGCTTCAGGTTCAATGAGGTAAATGAAAGAAACAGAGTTTCTAGAGCTACTTGTGTTACTTAAAGCTAGTAGATCTCGTTTTCTGGTACTTACGGTCGATGCATGCGGCTATTCCTCTTCTCTGTGAGTTTCCGCTTAATGTTACACGATTTTTACATATTCTGGAGCCCAGCCGGGCTATTCTCGACAGAGCTCCTACAGCAGCCATGTTTACCTCTACAGTGGTGAGTCACTCGGCAGCGGGACTGCTGGTTATTGTAGTTTGTAGTCGCACTTCCGGCTTGTATTACGCATTTAAAGGTGCCATATTGAAACGGGGTTCGTTTCAATTAAACGAAATGTTGAAAGTAAATATTGTAAACATTTAAACATGTTTAGAAATTTTACTTTGATTCGTTTAATCACATGAAGTAATTAATTTATGCTAGATAACACAAGTGAGTATTGATATTATGCTTATGAAAAAGTTTTTGAACTAACACGGTATTTATTTGCTGTTATTTATTCAGATGTATGACATGACCAGTTTGATTATTACACTACAGTGTAGGGTCCATAACATTATTTTTTAATTGTATATCTTTTTAAATAATGATATTTAAAATGTGAAATGTAAATGATGGAAGCTTGTGTCTACCACTGATTTATTTTTTATTTTTTTCTTTTGTTAACGTATTCACTTATTTTGCCATCTGTAAGTGAATATTTCAGGTTCACATTTCAGAGTTCAACTTGAGAAGTTAATATTTTGTCTTAATAAATCAATAACATCTCAAGTTAATCAAAAAAATTTACAATTTACACTCTGCCTGGCAAAACTTATTTTGGAAACAAGCTTCCATAAAATTGTGAAGCTTGCATAAATGAATAAATGTATATAGCTTTGAGAATCCTTTTAACCTTTATACATTAATACCAACAATTCTGTAGGCTTTAACACATAACATAACACTTTGTAACCTCATATTTACTTTCTTTATCACATATTCTCAGACTATTTATTTTATTTTGGATTCACTTTAGTCGTTTCCATGTGTATCCTGTACACACTGAAAACTTACAATAAAGTTGACTTTGACTTAACTTACACCCTGTTTATTTGTAGGTTATAATAATAATAATAATAATAATAATAATAATAAAGGGGTGTTATTGTCATAAAAACTGAAGTAAACAGGCAAACGAAAAATAAATAGACAATAAAATCCGATTAATTTAATTCCTAATAAACCAAAAGGCCTGAAAATAGTCACGTGTTCCCCGTACCAATATGGCGGCAGTGCTTCTACAGCGGACACACGGCAGTGGCTGGAGAATAAATCGAGTGCACCTATACGGTTTTTAGGTCACGTGTTGCAGGTTTTTCCGCGGGATTGATGGCTGGAGCTGTGCGGAGCTGAAGGTACGACTCCAAGACTGATTATTACCGAGTTTATCTCCGGACAGTACGTTACGTCTAGTTTGCACGCATTCCTGATGCTTCTGTGTTTCTGCTGCTTGTTAGTGTCTAAGCAGTTTACACATGTAAATAAGAGCACTTATTCAGAAAACATTTAATAATACCAGCATTAATATTGTTAACTAGTGCAGTGTATGTTTTTCTTTAGTTACAGCAAGCACTTGAGTCACACCAAATACAATTTGTGGTTGTGTTATTTAAGTTGAGGTGTTTCTAACCTTCAGTCTGCCACTACTGATGTAAACTGTGGTTATTAAAAATATATGTTAGTAACACTTCTCAAATTAAAGCTTCCTACATGAAGAAGATAATCACGGCTCATTGGAAGACTACTGTGCTTACCAACATTAGTTGCGGCTGGACGCAACTACCGGTAAATAAAGCCAAATTTATGTGATCTTGGACTCATTTTGAATGATTTTTAGAGTAGTCCGTTTGGGATTACATAAAGAGACTAGACACTGACCCAACCTAATGTTCTTCAGTTAACAACACTTTGTATGAACTTTAGAAAAGTATAAATGGATATAAATATAAGGGATGGAAATCATTAGTGGATAAAAGGGAAAAAATGCTGATTGTCTGAGTTCTTGGTGGGAGAGCTACCAGAGTACAAGTTATACCTAAAACTTCTTGTGTTTTTGCCCTCACAAGCTTTACAGAAACAAACCATCCAAACCTTTTGTGGATCTTTACAGAGTCAAAGAGATGCCACCAAAGAAAAAGGCCAGAGTCAGTAAAAGGAATACAGGTTCAGGTAGGTAAATCAAATCACAGAAGAAAATCACCTGTCTGATATTAGAAGGTTAATACACTCATCCTGGGCATGAATCTCAGAGTAATTTCAGGATTTCTAAGGATTTTCCAGGGTAGAATATTTTATAGCTACATCTTTAATTAATTAACCAAAACCATTAGGTGCACAAGTGTGAATTTATTTTGAATTTAGTCTCAATTTTATATAATGAGTCAAGTGCATTCAAACACCCCCACTAATATTTGGTTGACTGTCCTTTAGCAAGCTGCACCTCAACCACACACTTTGGGTAGGCATCAACAAACTTCATGCATAATTCTGGCTGCATGTTTGACCACTCTTTTTTGCAGAAGGGTTCATTCAAATAGTCCAAAAATGTTCAATAGGGTTTAGGTTGGGGCTTTGGGAAGGCCATCCCAGAAGCTTAATGTTAACCTGCTTTATCCATTACAAAACCAGATTTCACATGTGTTTGGCATCATTGTCTGATTGAAACACTCAATTGTGTCCAGGTTGATTTGAGGTGAAGTTGAACAATTTGGACATAGTTCTCCTCCTTCATTATTCCATCTACTTTGTGCCCATGATGCTACCACCACCATGCTTGACAGTTAGTCCATGGCACTGTAAAACTAACTTCACTGTAGACGGTTTTCCTGTTGTTCCATTAGTTTCCCGTTCATGCTAGGCTTGAACCTTTTTGGTCCTTTAGTTGTTCCTGAACATCTGAACCAATTTCTGCTCATGCGAGGGTGACAGTGTGGGTCTTCTTCTAGAACCCAGGAAAGTTGTGTTTGCACTGATTATTTTGGAATCTGCATTTCTAAGAGACATTCCCAACTTGTGTTAATCTACAATTCTATTTATTAGATGTTTACTAAGTTCCTTCGATTTTTCCATTGTTCTGAGTATTGGTCAATCCAATGGGTGCTGCCAAAGAAATAACAACATTGCAGAACCTCCAGTGCCGCTTATTATTATAACTTAAGCGCTTGTTCTTGTTTTTTAAAGTCATCACAGATTTATGCTGTACAATCACTCCACCCTGGAAAAAGAACGGTTCAAAGAAATCATTAAAAACACCAAATTATTGTGACATTCAACCCCTCGAAGAGTGCGTGTAAACACAGTTTTAACTAAAGAGTGCTTCCAAACCACAGGCAAAGATGATGACAGGGAGCCAGTGTCCCCAGCTTTGAAGAAGAGGAAAGCTGCAACTTCTGGTGGAAAAACTGACGAGAGCTCGGCGTCTTCTGGTTCTCCACAGTACAGTCGCTGGCTGATGAAGTCTGAACCCGAGAGCCGCTTTGAGAATGGCATCGACGTAAAGGTATGGAGCAGCACCAGCTTTGTCAGCGCATTTTAAAGTGTGAGCTGGTCTCACTTGTCTGATGCTTCCTGTTCACTCTGCAGTTTGGCATCAAGGACCTGAAGGCTCTGCCTGATCAGACCAGCTGCTGGGATGGCGTTCGTAATTATCAGGTAGAGTTGCAGCACAGAGTCCTGCAAAAAGAAGATGTTTATCTGAAAAAGCGAGCAATGCGCTGCTACTCCTGAAAGGGCTTTTCTGTCTCTGCTCACTGCACCACTGTGCAAATTATTTTTGAATTTGCTATGCTTATCTTCTGCAGGCACGCAATTTCATGAGGCAGATGAAAGAGGGGCAGCTGGCTTTCTTTTACCACAGCAACTGCAAGGAGCCGGGGATAGCAGGACTCATGAAAGTGAGTCGCTCTTCTATATTTAGGTAAAGCTCGAGACGGGCCCGATGTTCAGCTTCATTTCCTCTTTCTAGGTTGTGAAGGAAGCTTATGTGGACCACACTCAGTTTGACAGGAAAGATGTGCATTATGATGCAACCAGCAAACCAGACGACCCCAAGTGGAGCATGGTAAGCTGAACGCATTAAGCGCAGTTAATGATAAGACTCAAGCGTGAAGGCTGAGCTCGTTCTCTTCTCCCTCAGGTAGACGTCCAGTATCAAAGGATGATGAAGCGTTTTCTTCCTCTGTCGGAGCTTAAAAAGCACCACCTGCAGCATCGCGCTAAGGGGGGGCCCCTCAAAGACATGGCACTTTTTACAAGGGCTAGGCTCTCTGTGCAGCCTCTCAACACCGGTATGACAGAAGCAGAAAGAAAAAAGTAAACAAATAAACAAATAAAAAGAGAAATAGCTGTGAACACTGTTTCTTTCTTCGCAGAGGAGTTTGACTTCATCTTGAGTCTGGAGGACAAAGAGCCACTGTAAGGATTGACTTCACAACGCAGCAAAATCATCACAAGTACCATTGCTTCACTGTAACTGTTAACGTTTATTAAAGATATTAAATATTTTTATTAGACATCATAGTCCAGATTCAATCTGTAAAAACACAAACATGTGGTCATGACTTGAGTTTCTTGGAACTGGATGGAAAGCAGTGCCTCTTTTATAAAGTATAAACAGAAGCAGCATTAATTATGGCTGGCCTTTGCTCTCAGAGTAGCGTCAAGCATCATTTTATTGACGTTATTTAATTCATAATTTATAAACGGCAGCATATTTTACGACTCCTGATACCCTTTCAACACTTGTTTTATCACATGGGAATAACTTGACATTGTGTGCTCAACTGCTGCCCGGTGATGACAGAGTGAGTGGGAAAATAAAACCCGCAAACAGCCTATGTGCCATGGCCTTCCAGGTATTTGCTTAATTGCAAAAAAAACCCAAAACAACAACAACATGCAAAGGGCTCTTGGTAAATTTTCCTTTCTGTAGACTGTGGGGGACCCACATTAAATGAATTTAATGTGCTGAATGCTGAAAAGTACCTTATATAACCTCTGATGAGATGCTGGTTTGGAAGTATTAATGCTGTTGCTGCAGCCCGATGCCACAACAACAACTCCCGTATTATATGTCAGAGTCAGTCAGATGGTGTAGCACCATTTATCTCCTAACTGACATCACTGTTATTTAAATAGTTTTTATTAACTATTTCCAATTGATTTACTTGAATAATTGTGTATGCTGATGCAAAATAGCTACTTCGAACAGCAGTGGCTGAAAAAGCCCAGCCTGCTTTGGAACCCGAGCCCCTGGGGCACACTGTGTGTTTCCACTCATGAAGTGTGCCCCAGGGCTCGGGTCACAAAGCTCCAGAGCGCTAATGACTGAATCAGTGTGTTGATATCTTCTGTGGTCTTTTCCACAGTCATCGTTTTATGAAACATTGTCTCCTTCGCTCTGGTTGTCACATTAGGATAACATCACCTTTAAGTTTTAAGCCTCGTCTTTAGTTGAGACCTTTCTCTTTACGTGTTTAAATTACACCTCAAAGCACATGCATGCATGTCCTCTTTCACCTGATGTTACTGTTGTTAAGATAAAACTTATAATTTTGACACGGATCTCCTAAGAACCCACCAGAACATAGAAACCTGTTATAAAACAGATAAAACCGATATACAAAGTCTTTTGTGGAAATGTCCTTATAATGAATATGTGGTCCAGCAGAAGTTGCTGTGGCTTGCTTGCACCGTTGCCTCAGAAGGTCCTGAGTTTGCCTCCAACATCTAGCCAGGGCTTCTGTGCGTGGTTTGTATGTTCTCCCCATGTTTGCATAAGGTCTCTGGTTTAACCTAACCCTACCCTACCCCTTGTTTTAAAGACATACAGTTGGTAGGGTTAGATTAATTGGTCGTTCTAAATTGCCCTGCATCAGACTGGTGACCTGTCCGGGGTATACCCTGACTCTTGCCCTATGATAGTTGGGATAGATCTAGCCCTGATGAGAAAAAGTGGAAGAGAATGGATGGAAGGACATTTTCCTATGAGAAATTCAAAATAAAAATCCACTAATTTTGCAACTCATGAGAACTTAAAAAATATCAAACTGTACAGTCATGATGTGTATGTGAAAAACTGAAGTATATCATATCATTCAGTAGCTTGTAAAACCACCTTCAACACCAATAAACTGATTATTGTCTGTATCCCTGTATCAGTCTCTCACATTGTAGAGGGATTTTGGCTCACTCTTCTTTACAGCATTGCTTCAGTTTGTTTAGGTTCGCAGGCAGTCATTTATGCACAGCTCTTAGAGAGGTTAAGGTCTGGAGTTTGATGGGGCCACTGCAGCACCTTGATCCCTCCCCTCCCCTCAGTCACTCTGTTGCAGATCTGCTCACTACTCTATAGCAGTTGAATGTTAAATAAATAAAACTACATTAGCTGCAAGTACATTTTAATGAATGCTCAGGTTCATTAAGTCAACACATTCATTTTCACAACAAAACCACAGAGAATTAAATTCATTTGGCATCAATTTATTAGACTTTTGGGAACAAGGAGTAATCGAGTAGCATTTTGCAAAAGATAGTTCTACTGTAACTTTCTCTGGTTAAAAGACTAAAATTATGTTAGAGGCAGGAGGATTCAATTAGCTTGATACACGTAGGCACAACTTTTAAGTCTCTAATAAAGAGGATACAGAAGACTTCATACTATCAGACCTCAAGACAAACACTTTGACATCCTTTCCTAACACCACTGGAATGCTGAGGTAAAGCTTATGGACATGAAACGTCATTTTGTAGCACTGTGTACTAGATAGTCTGTGTACACGAGCTGGAAACAGGATAACAGGTTTAACTGGCCTTATTTACAGGTTTAAAAACAAACGTGTGGATTAATACTTTAGCTCTCTCACTCAAACAGCAGCGAGAGATTAGAGTTTCCACTTCCATCCTTTTTTTGTGCAAACACACAAACACAGAAAAATGTGTTCAGCAAGGTAAAGCAGTGCAAAGTTATCTTGGATTTCTTGACCTTAGAACAATGTTAGGAATGCATTCATTAAACGTGGAATGTTGGAGATGCACTTGATGAGCATTCGTTTGAAATAATTATGAGATTAGAAATCAATTGATCCCAAAAGTGTTAGAACGTAACAAACAGAAGGCTTAAAAATTCAATTTCACATGGTTTTACCCAGCGAACAATAAGACATGGGTTTACTTTGATTCCCAAAAAGAACCCCCCCCCAAAAAAAAATGCATTAATGAGGAAGGATAGGACCAGCAGCCTGAAGCCCATTTGAATGCCTCATGCAAACTGTTTCATAGTTCACACAGTTTTACCGTATGTCGGTCTCCCTTCTTTCTTTACCAGAAGCAGCAGCTACAAGTAAAGCAGCTGCCTCTCCAGATGTTGTACAGTTCACATGTACCCCCCACCACCCCAGTGCAGACCCTTTGTGAGTCCCGTGAGAGGAGAGCTGCAGCTCTACCCGCTCTCCTCTTTTGCAGCCTGTTCCAGTGCGCTCTCTGAAGCGGCTGATCCTTCGAACCTCTGAGAGGCGATGGCAGCCTGGTGAGACATGCTTTTCCTCACCACGTCCCCTTTTCTCCACAGTGTGATTTCCTGGAGGGGAGAGAAATCAAAGACAAATGTAAGGTGATGACATGAAGAACACCTCAGCCCATGACCTGTAAATGAAAGAAAAGGTACCAAACTGAGCACAGAGTTTTCCTAGCTCTCAAATGTGACTGATAAATGATTTTAGCCTTTTAGAACCAGTCAGTGGGACATCAACCAATAAAAGCACCACTACTTCTTATTCGCTGTCAGACTTGTTTTCTAGTGCAACATTTTCACTATCTAACACAGAAAAAAGCAGAGCTCCACAATAGTACATAAGGTACTGTGTTTAAGAATTGCTATTGATAAGGTTTTACTGATGGTGTTCAGTTTCGAGGTTTCAAGCAGATTCTTTATTGATTATTGATCGATTTTCACCTACATAGGATTTTGTTTTTTTGGGGGGTTTTAGTGCCAGTGCAGCAGGTCTATTATCTCTTCAGCTCCACTGCCATGAAAAAAAAAAAAGACATAAATAAAACATGCCAGCACTAATAAAAGGCACTGATAAGCTGGGGGGCATAAGCTTTGGATGGAGTACAATTCAGAACAGAACCAGTTGGAACCTGCTCTCAGTTCCCACCTCTGATTATTCAGTAGCGCTAGCTGTAACTACAGTCAGAATCACTACACACTCACAGCTCCATCATAGCCTGTACCCCCACATTTAGAAAGCAAACAACAGGAGGATGTTCGCCAGCTTTCTTAGTGAAACAGGGTTCAGCTGCCATTACATCCTGGCTGTAGGCACGCTTCAGTTATTACAGTTACAGCTGTGACACAACAGGATGTAGCACTGATTGACTACATGCAGGCGGCTTTGTGTGCCTACAGTGGTAGTTGGAGGCTGAGCCTCCTCTTGAAGCCACACTGTCCTTTCACTCTGACACAATCGAAATACAGAGGCAGTCAAAATCAGAACCACATCCAGCCACAGCTGCACTAATGTCAGCCAGGCAGAGCAGCTGCAGCTGTGCCCTCATCCACCAGCTGGATACTGTTTGAGAGCTGCCCTTCATAATGACTAATAAGCACTAAAAATCCCATTCACATGGATAGTTTTAAACTAGTGAAGTAGAAGATTCAGAAAAATGTAAAAACGCTGTCTGATGTTTTGCTTCCAGCCGTACCTGCTGTTTGAAGTAACGTCTCTCCTCCTCGTCAATCAAAACCAGGTTCAGGTAGTAGCGCACCGAGAACTTCTTGTTGATGTCTCGCATGGTGGGGGTCAGATCATATCCAGCCAGAAATAATCGGATGGGGATGGACTCTCCTGCAATGTTAAACACACTCTCAGAGGCTGAGCAGTGTTTGCATTGTGTGACTTGTTGAAACTGTGAATAACTTTTGTTTACCTCTGACCGGCGCTCCATCCATGATCTCGTACTTGGCAATAGTGTCATTTTCGTGGTAAACGCTTGGGCCTGTGCCTGTTGTCTCACGTTTGATGATGTCAATCTCCATGTGTTTAATCTTAATTCTCACCAGCAGAAAATAGATTTTTCCCACAATTACATCTTTCAGATGGTACCTGGAGAAAAAGAAAAGAAAAGCACAGGCGACAACTGCGAATGAGATCTACAGTTTAGTCACTAACAAGCACAATGTTCAGTACATGCTTTTCATTTAAACTGATAATAAATCAATCATTGTTTCAGCTACTGGTTCAGTTTCTAAATAAATAAATGCATCTTTCACTTAAAAAGAGATGGTTTTGCTGATACTGTATAAAACTATTTCACTCTTAAACACAGCATAACAAGGGAAAAAAGTGAATGATAGTGGTTTGCTGCAGCCCTGCAAGCCTTACTTGGATTTGTTATACTCAAACTCGATGTGGAGGCAGTCCTCAATTCCAACTTCCATTTTAATGGAGGAGTTGAGCTCAGGATAGGTGCTCAGTGTGTGGACCACAATGTCCATCTCTTTAGTGATGTCATTTAGTCTTCTTATCACCGTGGCACGAAGAAAATATCTGAAAATAAAGCACACAAGCAATGAAAAAAGTGCCATTTCCTCCTTAGTAGAAAGTCACAACTACACACTAATTGACCATAATGTCAAATCCACCTGCCTATCCTATCGTTTACTGCTCCACCTCATGACAAAGACTCAACCAGATGTCTGGTTGCAACACTGAAATGCATATTCATAATGCTGCCACCTCTTACACTGGTAAAAGCCTACCTTCTCCCAGTGCCCTTCCAGCTATGACGCTGTCGCATTCATCTGTAGGAACCTTTGGTGGTGGACAGGGCTCTCCATGGTCAATCTGACTAGTCTGACACCTTCAAGTCAAGTTTAAAGCGTTTTCTGTTCATTCAATTAACAGAGTCCAACCCTATTACCCATTCACCTTGGACACGTTTTGATAGGTACTTATCACTGCATACAAAGAATACCCCAAAAGATCTGCAGCTGTCTTCAAGCATTCACAGTCTAGCCCTTGTCAAACATTTGCAACACATATTAAGTCGTCACAGTTCACTTTTCACCCCTCGATTGTTGACACTGTAATGATTTAACGTTACTCACTTCCACCGTCATTGGTCTGAGCAGCGTGCATGTACTGCAAGTCAAATGTGGGCGACATCAAGCTTGAAAACTGCTCAGTTTAAGTGCAACCACATGACAGGCAGGTTAACAAGTAACGCGCTCACTGTACTGCTGACAAAACGACAGTGAAGGATCAAACTTACCTTAGCTTGACATTCTGGCCTGTGTAGGACTCGTAAGGTTTCTCAACATGAGTGAACTCAAAGTCAAAGGTCTGGGACTGAGTTATTTCACCAGGTCTTGCGAGATCTTTCACCAGGGAAACAAATTCATGATGATTTCCTCTGTCGTAATACAACTCTAGAACAAGAGGAAAGACAGTATTTTTTTAAAAAAAAAGAAAAAGAAACTATACTGTGCACGATTTTGGATACAACTGAGCTCTTGGACTCGTAATTGATTTTTGTGGCCAGAAAGCCATACCATGTGAATTTCACTTCTTAAAATCTATTTGTGTGTCCAAGTTTTCACACAGCTCTTTCACAAATGTAACACTCAAGCAGAGATTGTCTGTGTTGCTTACAATTTCACTGCTGGAACTTTTAAAAGTCCAGCTGCAGCAGATTAAGGACACTAGAGTGCAGCTTACAGGTGATCTGAAACAGGTCTACACAGGTGTAATATGTGGCCCCCTGTGTTTCCTTTCATGTCTAATATAAAGTTGAAAACTGAAGCATCTGTTTGTTTCACTGTTGAGGGATACCTCCATGTTTCTTCACCCCACAGTCTATCACTCGCTGCTATTTTTACATACCTATTTGTCCCACAAATTCAATTTTGATGCCATGGTGCTCCAGCCTCTTTCCGGGGTTCTTCAGCGTCACATTCACCTTTCCACTGACAGTCTCGCCGTCGTAGAAAAGAAAATATTTGTCTTTCTTCCCATCTTCAGTTTTGTGTTCAACCTTCTTCCTCGTTTCGGCGTCATTCAGGACAACATCGATTTCTGCGCTTTGACCAAAACTAAAGAAACTCATTATAATGCCGCGTCCTCGCTAACTCTTTATCTTATCTAAGTGCGAGTTAACTGACTTGTTAGCACGCTGCACCGAACCTGCTAACGTTTCAAAGTAGAAAACAAGTGCACGCTAAGGCCTGCGGAGTGCGCGAGCTTGGCTGCTTCTCGTAGCACGAATTACACCGACTGACATTAAAAAGTCTCAAGATATGTCACAGAAACCTCCACACGAGCTACATGTCAAGCAAATTAGCGCTTCGATGCTAAAACACACAGTATTGTGAATAGCCGTTTTCTTTTTTTCTGCTCTCCGTTGCTGAGCCTGGATCTCACCGATAAACAGCCCGAAGCAGCGACGGATGGGTCTGCTGTTCACACAGAGCTCGCCGCGTAAATGTATCTTACATGTTTGTTTTCTGGGGATAAAACGACGAACGCTGTCAAACGACCAGGATGTAACACCAGCTTTCTTTACCTGCGTTAGCTGAACTACTTCCGGGTGGCGTTTTTTCACAGTAAAAGCGGAAAGAAAGGTGCGGAAGTCGCTAGGCACTAAAAGCGATTATGCTTGAACTACAGCGTGTTTAAGACCTGCAAGTGCTAAAAGGAAAAGAAATATAAATAAATTGCATTACAATACTACACTCATGCAAACAATATAAACATTTATAAGCACTTTCAAACCCTTAGCAAAAATTATGAAAATACTTAAATTATCAGAAGTTAATAATAATATTAATAACAATAACAATAACAATAATAATAATAATAATAATAATAATATTATTATTATTATTATTATTATGTACAGCGTATGTAGTATGTATGAATGCTATTATATTTATACTGGCACTGGAAGCAAAATGTGAACACAACTCCAACACAGCTGTCATCTTTCGCACGCAGCAACTCACAATTGACTTTTGAGCGAAACTACACAAGAGTTCTACGTCATCAGTATGTGCGATCTACACACACTTTCAGCAGCGACGCTTAGAATTCTATGCCCATAGACTTACTATTATGCTATATTGTAATGTACATAAATGAAATGTGTATACTGTAAATACACTATTTCATCTTTCTGTATAACTTATATTACACTACTGTAGAGGATTTGAATTGGATTTCATGAAAAGGACCCATGAATATAATTTCATAGATGAAGCAGGATTCAATCTGGCATAAAGGAGGTGGAGAGGCAGGAACATAATTGGTCAACATGCCATTGTGGAAGTCCCTGGCCAGCATGGTGGCAAAGTAACTGCGGGCCTCTCCACTGTCATGCAAACCTGGGACCATATAACACTGCACATCTCCTTACATTTTTGGGTGATCTACAGGATATCACGGTTGCACGTGAACAGCTGGATCATCAAGCAGTGCAACCTGTATATGTCATTGTTTGGGACAATGTGAACTTTCACTGTGCTGTCCTGATACATGAATGGTTCACAAACAACCAGCGCTTTATAAACATTTCCCTTCCACCTTACAGCCCCATCCTGAATCCAACAGAAGAGTTTTTCTCTGCGTGGAGGTGGAAGGTCTATGACCGGCAGCCCTACACCGGGGAAACTGGAGGCAATAGAACACACCTGTGATGGGACAACTTTGGAGTCTAGTCAATGCTGGCTTCTGCACTCAAGAAGGTTTTTCTTATGTTGCCTGGCATGGGAGAATATTGTCTGTGATGTGGATGATGTGGATGAAGTCCTCTGGACTGGCCCCACACAAAGACATGATGATGTTGAATGAATCTGTGAATTACAGAAATGTGCTTTTAATTTAGTTTTATTTTTAATTAATTCATTTTTGTTATCTACATTCAGCACTTCATATCATTCTAATTATGGTCATTTGTTAAATACACTTAAATATTTCCTGTTAACTACATGCCCTGAATGCCGTATCTTCAATTATCTGATGTAGTGTCTAACGAATATTCTGTGGTGAATATATTTTTACTTGCTGTGTAAAAACATCATTTGGTTTTGAACACAGCATAACTGATTTTGAAGTGATAGTTTGATTCTGACAGAAGAATCTGAGGTTTTGTGAATGTAGTTCTGTTTAAGGTTTTGAGAAAATGGGTGGAGGTTTCAGCAAATGTGTTTTAGCAATTCAGAAAAACTGGAATAATGATAATAATTACAACTTGCCTAATGAAGCGTTGATTGGCGCTTCAATGAAACTCTGGATGTCTACAAAACTATGAGCCAACCGATTTCAAAAAGCTTTTTCATTTTACTGTAATACCTGCACTAATTTTCCTCCACTCTGGATTTTTTGACTTGCATATATAATTTGTGTGTTGTTATGAGTTGTGATGGTAGTGAGACGGCGGCCGTAAAAACAACACAGGAGGTTGAGCCGGAGATGGTGAAGATTTTCGCTGATTTACCAGGAGGCACAGGATTAAAATGAGTATCAGAGGGATTGAGTTCAGGTTGAGAGGTTTGGAAACAAAGTTAAAGAGGCAAGGGTGAGATTGTGCTGCCAGGCAGGAGAGTCTCTTGCAGAGAGAGCTGCAATAGGAAGACCACAAAAAACATTTCTGGATGTAGTCAACATGGACAAGCTATGTTTGTGTTTGTGCGTGATTTCCCCCTCACTACACAGAAACCTTGTTTGTCTGTGTATCTCTATATTTCACTTTAATCATCTGGACAAAATCCATCAAAACATTTGAGACTCCAAAAATTCAGCTGAAATATATTTAATAGTAACAAAATAACATTAACGTATAACATTAATATCAAATGAACAGTGGACATTGTACAACAGTTCCTGAGTTGTTACACACATCTTTGACACTAATGTCTAAAATGACACACTGTTGTTACTGACAGGCTCAACACGGCAGATACACACTGAACAGTGAATACTGTAAATGTATTTCCAATAAACAGTTTATTGCAATATTTACAATAAGGTATGGAGTGCTACGCATTCAAATTAAAAGCTCCAAAAAGTATATGCATGTATGTACATTTATAATACTGAGTCAAACCTGGACAATATGTCCAATACTCACAAAATAATTAGTAAAGCACAAAAGGTCACTTATACACAGAAACAGCACTCCAAGAAATCATCAACACCACCTTTATAGTACATATTGAGTTTGCAGCATATTGGAATATATGGTGTTAAAATTCAGACTTTATTCTGTACTTGTACATGTTTGTTTTCATTTGTAAATATAGTCATAGGCTATTAAATTGTGCCTTCTAGTCAGCTCATGAGCCTTTTTGCAGCCTGCTACTTATTGCCTGTTTAACTACAGTATGTACAAAAACATGTTTCGTCCTCTGCATGTGAAACAAACTAAGAACAAGGATGAAGTAAACAATTTACGTCCACTGTAAAAAATTGAAGAGCTATAAAAGAGGATTTGTCCAAAAACAGTGAGGGAATGTAGTTTACAGTAACCTTTGTGATGACACTGTGATATAAACATCGACCTCCACAGCTTTGAAATCGTTTTATTGTACAGTAGCTTTATGTTGAGTATAAAATGAGAAAAATATGTAAAAACCAAATATTTTCATGGAATTTAATATTAATAAACAACAACAAAAAAATCTGTGGCATTGCAAAACTCAACCAAGTGCCACAAAATGATATTAAAATTACTTTGGCAAGTCGGCTGATTTGATTTTGATGTGCATCAGAGAATAATGTGCCATGTTAGACTCCAAACTTTACCAAGTGGAGCATCATTGTTGCAAGTTTACTTCGTCGTGGTTACATCGCGTCCTCCGTGTCGGCTGTCAAATAACGAAGGAAGACTTGTGGCGGAAATGACCCTGTGAAAAACAGGAAGTAGGAAGTTACCTTAGATTTTCTTTTTTTGGATTTGACTTCCAACGAACGCGGTGTGCTTTGTAAGTTTACCTCATCCGCGTCTCCATACTCAACACTGCTATTCTGTGCAGGCCAGTTGTAGCTGAAATAAAGTGAAACAGAATGCATTAAAAAAAAAAAAAAGTCAGGATTTTGTATCCTTTCATCAGAGCTGCAGACTGTACTCACTTATTTTCATTGTGGCCTTTTTTGTGGAAGCATCCACGTCTGAAGGAATGACAAATGGAAACCGCCAAGCATAAGAACGCAACCACAGCACCAAACACCTTGAGGAAAATCCCCAGGATGTCAACGTCATCTGCAACAGGGCACAGAGAAGTGCTCATGAGAGAGTTACGTGGCCTGAGACATATCGATAGCCTATAACCATGACTTATATCATTGCTGTATTTTCATTTTTATGTATATCTTGTGTAATTGCCACACTCCTAAAATCCTCACTTAATTGTTATTGGCTTCGATGAAAATAAGACGAATTTCATGTTCATTAAATACACCAAGTCAAGATACCAAACAATGAAACAAATAAAAACAAACTTTGTCTGCCTGCTTATCACATTAAATAGGAAGAATTCAGATGATGTACAGTAACAAATTTTGACATTTAATAATAAATGTGATAAAAATAACGAATTAGATTTTTTACATGAATTATGGTGAATGTCTTTTGTTTTGTTTTTTCCATTATTTTTTCTATAAAAATGTTCAAATGTTCAAAAATGAACAACTCCTACCACAAAATGAATGCCTATAGTGTGCAAAAACACTTTAACTGTGTGGACAGCTGCTTGATCCTTTCTGCTTCATGTTCTGGCTGCAGAATACGCTGTCATGGGCATGTTAGCATATCAGGGGCGTGGGTGTCTGAAACTGTTGCTTCCCAGCGAGGTGCTGGGATCAGACTGACCTGGACAGCCGGAGCTTTCCTGCATCCAGTTCGTTGCAAAGGGATGACGCTCAGCAGAGGGAATTAGTTTCCCTTAGCTGCCTTCAAATGGCAGTTATAAGCACAAAGTATACTTGGCCTTCAAATAGTTTATATAATATTTAGTGGGTACAGTGGTGCTTGGGGTAAAATTAATGAAAAATATTGTTATGTTTGCTTTGAGATAAAGTTTATTTCATTCCTACATGTGAAGTCGCGCCTGTCTTGTCCTGTCTGTGTTCATATGTTTTAGCTTCCTTCTGTTATTTCACACTTTTTCTCTTTGCCGTGTTAACTTGAAACTTGAGAGTGAACGTGTCTGATTTTGCTTTTGGCTTAAAGTGCTGTCAAAAGACCTGCTTGGCTGGTGTGAATGTCACTCACAGACTTCCATTATTTGCGTGGGACACTGTGCATGCCCCGCATCATTCTTTGCCTGGCAGTAGTACTCCCCCGCGTCCTCCTTCTTGACCCTTCGAAATTTCTGTGGAGACATTTTTAGAAAACTGTCAGTGCACTGACACGCAGACGAACTATCAACAATAGGATGTCTGGCTGTGGTTGAATATAGCGACATTTTGGCCTTCAGATGGATTTACGGGCTGCTTTTAATACTGCTGTAAGATTTTAGATTAGAGGGCATCGCCCTATGTTTTAAAACATGGTTAAATTTCTGCCAGATGTTAAACTTTTACCTGGAAACACATCAGTTTGGCTTTAAATGCAACATTAT